AACCAGAGAATGACATATGTGACCCCATCACCTGGAACTCAATTGACAAAAGGAAGAGTTAAGAACAGGACAAAACTCCAAGAACAAGTTCAGAGGATCTGGGAGGTCAGTCTATGATCAAAACAATTATAATGTGAAAGAAGGTAAACACAGAGGAACAAAGATCCGGTGGGGAGGTCAGGTAGATTACAGGATAAAACAGTCTGTCTTAAATGGAGGGAAAAGTTAATGGAATATAAGATAACCACAATGGTGAGGTTGGGGTGTGGGGGTTAGGGGGCGGTGGAGCGAGGTGACAGTAGAGCACAGGGTAGGGGGCAGACACATGATAGTCGGGTGTTGGGGAAGGCAATACAGGAAGGAGGAAGGGTGGAAGAACAAGGTAGATGGCTAAATGGGACAGAGGTAAATAGTGAACCTTGGAACAACAGGGCTCTGTGATACAGGGATCTAGGCATAGTCTAAAGAGGGGAAATAATACTAAGATGCTTCTGTCTCATGAATATTGGTTTCCCTTGCCTACTACTGTAAAATAGACACTTGAGTGGGATAGAAAAGAATGTCGGGAAACATGATTACAGAACGCTTGTAAACCCATCTTCAGCCTATAACTGATTGGAATACCTAAAAGGGGTTCCAGAACTTGCCTGTGAAATTGGCCTCTTGTGGAGCCTTTGCAGAGTATAGGACCTTAGGTGGAATCCTGAGCCCCATCCAGAACCTTCTGAGGTGGGACTTTCCCACTAGTAAGGACAAGCAGACCAGCCTGGAACAGCTAGAGCAACAGAAGATACATCTTCAAAGAAAGATCATCAGGAAAAAAAGAAAACAAAAGTGGCAGTATGACTGTCTACTACAAGAATAATCAAGCTGTTCACTGGGAAGCCATCAAGGCAAGCAATCAAGTTCCTACAAGACAAAATCCCCCTCTAAGACTGAAACTCAAAGGGAACACATGAGTAGTCATGGAAGATTGCTGACGACCACATTGGTCTACTGGTGAGTGAAAGAGGGGGAAAGGCAGAAATGAAGAAATCAGCTGATTTCAACTGTGGTCCATAGATTCCTGTTGACCTGGAGATAAGAGAGAGAAGAGGAAGGGCTGGTTGGGCCAAAGTGTGGTAGGACCTGTGGACACCTGAGCCCATGAACAAGGACATAGCCACAGAGGGTTAGAACTGAGACTGAAGCATCCAGCTGATATGAAGTGAGGGGAGATGCACAAGAACACCCAAACTTGGAGATAGTAGCCATTTGACATAGCCTTGATGTCTTGATAATAAGAACTTGACTAGAGAAAGACAATATATATATATATATATATAATTTTTTTATATAAAGGAAACTAGAGTAAATTGCTACAATTTGATGAACTTGACCTATACTCA